GGACACTCCAAGTATATGTATAACTCAATTTGTATGTTGGAGAGCGAGGTACCGCGATACGGGGTGAACAAGTAATTTTGGATCTAGACAGTGGGTTGGACCTTAGGAAATTGTTGGCGTCCTCATAGTATATTCGCAGAAATATACCTTTAACCCAATCAATTTACTAGTCTGGCAGAACCTTCCTTCCTAAGCATCAAAAACGCACACTTTCCTAGTATTTGGTTTCATGATATTTTTGTAAAACCTGCCTATTCCCTTTGAAATGTCAAGTAAACACTGTTTTTACCTTTTCCCTAAAAGCTGACTTCGTGTCGTGTTTTTTGATAAACACGCCTACCACGCCTTTTCTTTCCTAAGAGATGCGGTAAGTGATTGAGCTACTGCTTTGTGAACACAAAATTAAGTGTTTCCTCTTCAGACTGACGCTGGTAGAAACTAACTCTAAAGTGCTCACAAGCAGAAATAACGACAATTGCCCTAGCAACTTGTCGTAGTCACAAATGACGTGAATGCGTCCTTTGCATAAGTTGTGACGATAGGCCAAAATGTGGATTTGCCAGCAGTCATTAGCCAGTTTTTTTTTTAAAAAAAAACACTTTTGAGACCACTTTAGCACACATTGAAGCTCGAAGGTTGTTTAAAGAGAAACCCGCTAATCAGAGTTTCCTTGGAAGTATTTTGAAATTGAAATAAGCCACCTTGGAGGGTTTCCAGGCTGTGGCATGAATCCTTATCAGCGCAATTAATTAGTCATGAAGCTAACGAATGACACGACATTGGCGCATCCAGTCATGCTTGAAAATAAAGCACAATGTAAACAAAAGCATACTTATAAGTACTATAAGAGCCTGGAATTCCATTGGAAGCAGAGACGAATAAATGATTTGCGCGAATATAGTTAGCGCTTCCAAAAAAATTCAGTTAATTGACAAATGAGTGAAATTTACTACTCATCTTGGTCGATGGATGAGATTATTTATAACTTTGAATTGATCACAAATAGAACTGCATTGTGCAGCTGAAATTTCGACGATGGAAGCTGTTTGATCTATTGTTTCGACGAACGAAAGTCACATAATTGTCACACTTGAACATCCAGGTCAGGGTGTGCGTGTTCTTAAACTAGCGATGGTTCGAAAGTACTTTTATTTGATTGACAAGCATCTGGGTTTTGTCAAGTTTGCTCAAGACTCCCAACACTGCTACAACTGCACAACTGACCCTTTAATGGTGCCGTCGAAACAGAACTTGCTGCCGCCGGTGGAGATCATCCGAAGGTCCCAAGCGCATGCCCACCACCCTGCCTCACTGTACCGCACAGTTTGCATGATCGACTTAGAGTGGACCTGTAGACTTACGTTTAATACATCAAGGTGGAAGCAGGGTCTTCTTTTAAAAAAAATTGTGAAATTTATCGCTAGGTGCTTCTAAGCCATGTAATTATTTTTACATCGCCCAAATAACAGTGGTAAATTCGTTTGCTATTCAAGTAGGCCAAAGGAGTAGTCCAGGCAGGAACTAGGTCTCTTAGTTTGGGGGTAAATGAAACGTAAAATTGCCCCATTTTGAGCCCCTTGCTGATGAACTGCTTCATCTGCGTAGTGGAATTCTTCATGTTTTTTACCTCAGCGACCTTTCCGGAGGGATATTGCACTGCCTGACGAGGCAAAAGCTTCGGCGGTATATGCAATGTCGGCAAGGCAGACTTGACTATACCGAATTTCCTCTTTTCTGACCTGGCATTTTCACTTGGACCATGTACGACTACTTCATTGCACACTGAGAGGTTCACATATTCAATTTCAAGACGCGTGAACACCTGGTTTAAGAACACGCACACCTTGTGTTCCAAATTTCTTTTGCTCTCTTTAAATGGGGTCAGGGCACACAAGCCCCCGCGGATAATGATTTACCGCCGCGTCTGCGATGAGTGGAGAAAAGGAGTGTTCTTAAAAAAACTGGACAGCATCGGTGTGCATGCACGTCGGGTAACACATGCGAATGAGTCATCATACATCCGTACACGAAGCTTGCGGTTGGCTAGCAGCCACCACTAATGCCTCACAGATACGCTGACGGCACATCAAGGCATCTGCACCTTGATTTTCCCTGTCAGGTTTGGTGTCACTAACTCAACACTTGTGTAACGTAGCTCACACACAGTCATTTCCCCAAACAAGTCTTGGTCCAACAGATAAACCCCAAATATATATTCTTCTCGAAGTACCCATTATACTGAGCAATGTTCCAGATCTCGGATCATGATAAGTGTGACTCTGCTAAGAGAGGTTTCAATATTTCTCTCCCCATAAAAACACCTACCATTTTGTTTTCCACTGTTTGATTCTGGACATATTAACGTTATTAAGACAGGGACAAGCACGGTCAGATTCATTGCCCATGTGATTTATCTTATAAATTGGTTTCTGAAGTAACACTACGCGTCGAGCGTGACCTTGTTTCACAGTCTCATCTGAAAAGCATGCTCGAATATGATATTCGTGCTAGTTTATTGACATGGCTTGGTGAGTATTGACCGTAGATTGCTCTACTCCTCACCGTAACAATTCCTACATATCTTTCATAGGAGTCTTTCTTGGCGGCAGATGGTAAAAAGGGCAAATTTAGAGAGCAAACGATGGTTACGCAAAAAAATTTATGAAGATACGCTACCACTTAGGTCCCATATAAATAAAAATAAGTTATTTTGGGTTGAATAAAACAATGGTACTCAGTTCATGAACATTCTACACTCAAAAAGGCCCATTTGCCAACTAAATTGACCATTAGAACTATCGGTGTTTTTAACACTGGGAGCCAAATCCTGGACTTGATTAATATAAGATAATGCCACTAATGTGACAGTTTTCATCAACCCTATATATCCTGGCGCATTGAAGATCACCTCTTATTACAGTTAAGCATTTAAAAACCGTGGATCCGATCTTCGTGATAGATTAATCGTGGAGGCTACACAATATAGACATTGACTGGCAACAATTGACACAGGAAACTGTTCAAAAAGTAATCAAAAGTGTCGACCATAAAAATTCATCAGTGCAGAGAAATTTCAAGGGTTGAACATTATTAGGTAAGTCCATGGTTGATGAAACGAAAGTGTAATTTTTTAACATGATAACATACGATCTGATACAATCCGAAATACTAAGAACAAAACGGGAATAGGACTGAAATCCTATTTTCTTCACCATATTACTCAGATAAAGGCCAATCGGACTACCATATTTTCAAATAAATAGGGCAATTTACTCATAGGCGAATATTGCTGAAATCGGAAGCCATAAAAACTGGACTAGATAAGTATTTTGCCTCAAAACCGTAATAATTTTGGAATAAAAATAATAATCTTTCAGATAGATAGGACAAGGTGAAAGTTTGCTTGTTATAAGTTTCAAATGAACTTGTGTAAGTACAGAATTGGCGTTACAAATGGATGTCACCGACTTGCATCCAGAGCCTAATCAAAACGTTTATAAACGTTTTGACACATCACAAGATCAAGAACTAAGCCACACACCGGAGGCTAGAAGTCCTTTCCAGAAATATGTATGAATCGTGCAAATTATGCGGGTATGGACATTCCTGGTTAATGAACAGGTTACGGAGTCCTACTGAACTACTGTCAGTAGTGCCACTCACACGATTAACCCTGATAGAAATGTGCACCAAGGAATTTTCAAATTCAATTCCTCGCAGTTTCTGATATGCCAGTCTCTAAACACACACAAGCCAAACTTAATGATAAACCTAAGACACATCTTGCCTAGATGAATCAACTCCAGCTCTGAAACTGCTAGAAACAGATTCTTACTGGAATTAAATAATAAGCATCAAAAAAGTCCTTATGAGAAACGCAGACCTGTACATTCACCATTCTTCAAGGAACACACTACGACCGCCAACTTAAATCCTTTTTATAACCCCTGACCCATTCGGTAAATATTATATCATAAATGCTGACATCCTTTGGTTACCTTTTTGTCGATTGCCCTCTCCCTAGCAGACACAGATTACAGCTAATAAACTTCATGCACGTGCTTTAGTGTGGGCTCGACATCTCAAACCACACTTGATCTTTCGTACCGTATTTCATTATTGCCACTTAGACTTGCTGTTCCGGTGTACCGACTGGTTACTAATTAAGCCTACCACAAAGTCACTGACGTGAATTCTTCCATTACACAAAACCATTCACAGTTGGTACGGCACGACCCATGTAGGCCAGGATTTTTAAATTACCATTTTGAGGCCCCGGCGAGCTTGTTTATGATTATACACAGATGTGTGACTACGTGATTAAGTACAGGCGTTAAGGATCGACGGAGAGTCAAGGAAATCTACACACAAGCGTGTAATAAATGGCACAACAAGGAACCAGGAAGATGAACAAACCAGTTCAGCCATGCGTGAAATGTGGTGATCCTGAAATAACAAGACCCATTGCACCTGTAGTCCAATCACTTCGTTAGACATATTCGACCATGTTAGTTTTGCATCATAAATCCTATAGTAGTGTCATAGCTTATGTATAAGTTCAGATTATGGAAGGCAGTTGTTAAATGTTTCGCTGCTAAAACACATTCACAAGCATGTGAGCCGAATTCGTATGGAAATCTGAAATCCAAGTGTTACGATAGAACATTGCATGTCGAACAAAAAAAGAAAACGACACGGCCGAGCGAACGCGTACCAACTTGCAGACAACAAAAGCGCTGAGATACAGGATCAATTAGAATTACCAAATAATCTAGGGCCCACCTAGTTTAGAGGCTTTCTTGGGGTCGGCATACTGCGAGAATATATATAGTTCATAAGTATTCGCCTAAGCAATAAACAGATTACGATAGGCGTTGAAATAGCTATATTAGCAGCAAAATCAGCAAAATTTGAGGCTACTATACAATATTTACACAAGGTAAACGGTGATAAAGAACATTAACAGTCAATAAGGCGCCCGATTTTCAAAAAATTACGGGTCATGAAAGACGAGTCTCACACCCATGCAGAGCCCATTTGTGGTGCACAACTTCTACAGCTTCCCACTCGGCTTTGAACGCCTTCTGCATATCTTGTGGCTGCTGGGGCGGTGTCAAAGTATGATCCTGCATTAAGACGGCCTGGCTAGCAGCATTATCGGACCCAAGCACAAGTTCATGCAAACTTCGAAGTCCAAAAATGTTCAAAAAGTACCAAGACGCAGAGCTGACCCTAGAAGAAAGATAAAATAAGTACGAAGTATTACCATGAAGCATCTAAAGATACAAGAGTTTCGCAACCGCGTTGTAGCATTGGTTTAAATCGATAGGTAAGCGGGAAAGGAACTTTCGTCGTCAGAAACCCGGAGAATGCCCAGTTTATCCATCCTCCGATTACCAACATAGGTACAACGTTTAACATGTTACCCTTCATCATATCAGTAAGCATTGATGGATCTTAAGGAATTGTCACAAAACCGGCAGCGTACCCGCCATCGGGTTCTTAATCGAGTTTTCGCGTTTCTGGGTCTTGAAAAAACCAGTATCTGGGTCGTTAAAGAAATGCTTGCGCATATAAAACCCCTAAAAAAATAAGCAACATTGAAGCAAGCTAACATTGCGTGTGATATAGTTTCCGTTCTCTCGCAGAAGTCGGCTTCTTATAAGGACATGACTACAGTAATTAACACGAACTGTGGATTACAAATCACCTGTCAGAAACAGCTTGCAATTCATGCTTCTTTTCTGAAGCTAGAGTAACAGTAAGAAAATGCCGGATAACACCAAATAGGAAAGTGATGATAACAATGGGGAAAAACACCCAGAATCTAATCGCGGAATCAAGAAATAACTCAGCCATCGGCCGAGCAATATGACCGCAGAAGACAGCAAACAGTTGAAGCACATTAAAACAAAATAAATATCAAACCAGAGATGAGGTCAAAATAATTTATTATCTTCATATTACAACAGTTATTATTTAGAAATCTAATTCTGTAAATTCCCTTCAGATCTTGCAAAAAAGTGTACAATAAGATACTTAGTTTATGAAACTAAATAAGTGAAATTTGCAACATAACAGTTAAAACACGAAATCCCTTCCCATTTATTATATTTTGTCCCCTCACGTCATTGATTCTCTAGTATTTATGCTTCATATAAGTGCAAGTGAAGTGCAGGTCGTAGCACAGCCTGTAAGGTTCTAAATATATTATTACGATAATGTCATTTGGGATCTAACGAAACCTCAGCTCTTTTTTAAAGGACAATTCAAAAAAAGTCATTTGATTTTTGGATAATTATTCCATTAATCTTATTGCAAATATCAAATTTTTATATATACTGTTGGCTCATTATTGTCGAATAAATGTGTAGAGACAGATCCGAATAGAAGGGGAATTATGTTAAAACGAATGATTCTCAAAAAGCGATAACAAGCATGACAGTTGGCAAAAATTAGAATCTAATATTCTTGAATATTCTTGTGACCTATACATGTGCTACTTCACTAGTATGCTTATACACCGTGTAACAATATTAGTGGAAAGCCGGGAGGGGTTAGTTAAAAGCTGTCACCCCAAATAGTACTCATCAGCGACATCACCTTTTGTTTTGAAATTTGCGGTCGTTTTCTCATTGGCCCATTTGTCTCCAAATGCATTAACCTATTTTATCATGCTCAAGGTCACCAAAGGAATAAATGTGAATGGTATTTCCAGAACCCCTTTCTTTCTGAAGTCTTGCAATGCTGCCTCTGTAGGAAGACCATTCAAACTCTGAAAGATATTTAAAGAACACTTGGGGTTGTTCAGCATGTTTTTTCGGTGTCTAAATGCAGGAATAAATTAGTACAACATTCTTAGAGCGCCTTGGAGTAGTCTTCCATTATTACAAGAAATTCAAACACAAGTCTAACAAATAGACAAAATTTAGCTATTTTTAGGTATCAGTTTTAGCCAATTTGCGTTAAAATTTGCCTATTTCAAGACCCAAATGACCAATATCCAAAGAAGAGCATGCAAATAGGTCAAGTAGGAGTGTAAACACTAAACTAACGTTACAAATGACTTTAATGCAATCAATTAGGCGTTTAGTCTGATTCCAAAATTGAATAACCGTTCAACAGTTGATTAAACACGTAAGAATAATCATAATTTACCAACGGAGGTACCACTTTCAATTGTTGACTCGGCTGGGCCTGGTATTTTTCAAATTCTCTCTATATATGATGCCCACAGTGCACTATTATAGCCCTCTACGCATTTTAGTGCCAGGCAATCGGTATTAGACAGCTATAGCACATTGCCTTATAAGTGCTTTTTTAAGATAATGCAGGGTATAGTCCTATGTAATTGGCCCTGGGAACTACGTTTAACCGTGCTTCGAATCTTTGCTATGATAGACCACCATATCTGAACAAATAATAACAGAAACTATGATTGGTAGCTTTAGACCATAATACCTGAATTTTTCTTAATTTTCACTGACAAGTCAAATTGCGTATTGTTGGTGCCAAGTTAAGTGGCTTAATAATAAGTTGTTATGTAAACCATTCTAAAGCAGAGGTACAGATGGTTTTACAGGCCTGGACTTCCGTATGTTTTTTCCAACTAAACATGACTTAATAATATAAGGCTGCAACTAGTTTCATTTTAGTCTGAATTTCCTTGTCGTATAAATTTAGATTCTAAAATCATTCATATGTAACGCACACCATTCGACAACGCACGCTAGTCTGTCCTCCTATTTATCCTTTGATCTCATCCACCATTCTAGCTTACTCAAAGCTTAGCCGTATTCCTGAGGGTTACTAAAAACCCCCTTGATGCCATGTGACTCTCATTCCCGCTCAAACCCTCTCATAAGCTTTATCGTTTCTGTATTTGTGCAACGGATTATGGAAAATATTTGGTTCCCCCTACACGTCTTTATCGTATGTCTGGTAGTCAACGCTGATGGTGTGGCAACTCAGGGAGACGGACTGACAGTAACGTATCAATTTAGGTCCCCACCCCACAGGGTCGTCTTACATTACCCTAGCAGTTCTCAATCTAATTGCTATTTGAGCTGAAGAAAGGAGATTAGCATCCATTTTTGTGGTGCATTTTATCTATTCACCATTTATTGCTTACTATGCTTATTGTTGGAATGATTTCTTTTTAGGATAACACGTTACCGTTGTTAAACCTTCCTATTCGTCTTTTCTACTTTATCTAATCGGCATCTTAAATCTATCTTAATATTTCAGTTTTCGGTAACATTAATGATGTACAAAGGCAAAGTTATTCCTCAGCACGTAGAATCCAGGGTGATATTTAATGCTATTTAAACAATTCTCTTTCAGATATTTTTCCTGACTCAGTTGTGATCAACACCAACGGCCTTAAGATAAATAACAGCATAGAACCCTTTGTTGAATCCTAACGATTAGAATCAAACTGATATAATGTTTTCCAAGGAAGGTAGCCGATTGTTTTTAGGTATAGCGCCATTGAAATAGCAAAGGAACTTTGAGGTCAAATACCTCTACTATTAATAAGGCAAAAATAATTAAACAGCATTTAAGCTATATAAACTTAGAACACAGTTAAGTTTATAGCACTTTATTCAATCGTACAAAGAAAGGACTTGTCGCAGTGCTATAATGGGCACTTACCGATTAGAGAACTAATGTCACTTTATTCAGATTGATTTGGTAGAAGGGAGCAGTTGGAGGAACCCAACACTTATTTAAATTCATGCCTGTTCCTAAGTTTGTGACAGCCGTCGATGTTTAAACGATTGTGAATAAGTATTCGGTTCAGTCAGTGTGTAATAGAGATACTAATCATTTTTGGCAATTGGTGAATGGATTTGTGAATGCTTATAATATGTAGTTTTTTTTAGAAAAATGAGATATCATATTAACAAAAATAAACTTAAAGACTTAGCACTAGTACTTTACCAATTTAGTTTTAAAAAACGTTATGAGCAACGTTTTTTTGCAAAACTTGACATTACTTATACAGTCGATGCTAAAAGTTAATTAACCGAGATAGAAAAAGTGCAGGGTAAACTATTGCGAAGACAATTAACGCGGCTTTTCTACCTGCAAACAGGAATCCATGCTATTGGCATTTACAAAAATAATAGTAGGTGTATCTGCTCACAGCTCTCTCACGACGTATTACTTCTTGTTAAGTCTGCTTAATTTTATATAAGTATCCAGATTAAATCCTCGATGGTTCACATAAATTCAGTTTAAACAGCACCTGGAAAACTTTTAAGACCAACTCACGAAAAAGGTATAAAGGCCAAAGCATTGACGATTCACCAGGAGCTTGACTAAATATCAGCAAACATTACCAATACCAAAAACATATATGCAGTCACCTATATTCTTAAAACATAGAAATGGAACAAATATGTCTGTACTGAACAATGCCCTGACCTGCCTTTAAATAATAATACAAAATTTCACGACAGCCAGCACAACGGACAGAGCCTTCTTTTGGTATCCAATTGGCGTAGACCGGTGGGTACTACAAAGAGCTTAAAAATAAGAGAAGAGTACATTAATTCGACCTTGACTTAAATGTCTTTATAGGTAAAAAAATGGGCCTATTTACAAATTTTCTTCTAAGATGTTTTGGCAAAAAATTTAAGTAGCATTTCAAGGTAATTAAGAAGGGCGAAGTATGATTTTAAGTGTAGCTAAAAGTATCCGACACTCAGTAGGCCTTTACCATAACCTTTACATAAATACAGTTTTAATTTAACTGTTAATGTTTTTGACTATTTCAACTGGCTCCAAAATTTTGACATTCCAACTATCAACCATTTGATTCTGCTTTTGCATTATTAATCAAGAGTTAATTATCATATTTACTTTTCGACATTGGTTCATGGTTTCCTTTATCATTCAGGACTTGAACTTAGGAATTCAAACTTACCTAATACCAAACAGTTATGACACTTGTGAATCAACAAATAAAAAATGTATTAAAATTTAAACAAACCTTAGTTTAAATACTTTAAACTTTTGTAAATATTAAGTAGGTGTTAAAACAGTTTATAGTCAAACTCTCTTTTGTTTAAGTCAATTGAATCGCGTTCGAGTGAGCGAATTGGCTTGTAGCCATTTGGTTCTGTTGAGTCTCTCCGAGTTTTCCGCCATTTCTCACGACCGTATTCCTCCTATTAATGCTTTTTTGCATAATCACATTGCGCGATGCTAGCAGGTTTGTGTATTTTATTATTTAACTATTATGGCCTCGTAATCGCACTTGTCACTTTTTCTGTTAATTGTAGGTTCTGTTTGATAGATGAACTCATTGTTTCCATCTTCATCGCAACTTTCTTCGACGTTTGGACTATTTAAGCATCAGTTGGAGTTACGCGGTTGTGAGCCACAAGGCGTTTATGAGTTTTGGGATTCCACTAACAGAAATATTTGTCGAAGCCGTGGGTATCAAAAACCCAAGCATCTGTGGATGGCTAAGGACCAGTCAATGAATTTAGCAAATTCAACCGCTGAAGTAAATAGTGAAGACCCCAATGTATGTTCGGGGCCTCCCAGCAACCAGAATTTTGTATTGCTATCTGAAAATCGCTTTAATTCCCAGCAGATTGCAGGATTAACCCCCCTGCGCACTAGCTGTCATGGAATATCTCCTTCTAATTCTAGTAGTGCCCCAGGAACCGTTGCTATGCCCTCCTCTTTGACAAACACAAGCAGTAGTCCAAGCAACCACCCCTCGCCCCAGAACCGACTCGCAACCAACGCTGTCGGTGCTTTGAATTGTGATAGCCCGGTTGTTACGCACCAGTCCCGTGATGCGGGTCATGCTCGAAGCTATGCAGGTACGCCTGACTTAAAGCATAGACGAAAACGCGGTCGCCCTCCAAAAGCAAGATCTGGGGACACAATCGCGTTAACACCATCGAGTCGGCGAAAGCGACAGCCGAAGTCCGTTGTCCCCCCGAATGCGTCAATGCATGGCAACTGTCCTGACCCTCAGCCAAATAGCAATACGACATTCGTACCCGGAGGCCTTAAAATTCGTCTTCGTCGAGATGTTTCTATGGACGAACCTCTATGTGGTAAGAAGTTCCGCTCTCGGAAATCAAGCCAGAAATCCGTTGGGATTTTTCGGATTGTTGAGTCCTGGTGTGATGCCGATGCGCCTGGTGGACTAGCTGCAAAGTCCAGCGCTATCTCTCCTACATCATCCATCCAAACATCCGGCAGTTTTCGAGTTGGCGATGTTGTTTGGGCTAAACTGGCTGGTTATCCGTATTGGCCCTCAAGGATTAGTGCTTTGTACGCTCGGACGCCCCACCAGCTGACCCAAGTAAGCCCAGAAAATGCGAATGGGGATTCGCTTGCGGTGTCTGCGACTCCTGCTGATCCCTCTTTGGCGCCTGGTTTCACGGCCAAAGTGGAGTGGTTTGCATGGCATCAGTTTTCATATCTAAGCTGCGCTAAACTTTTTCCTTTCTTGGAGTATTTTGATAAACTCTACAGCCCCAGAACACGTGTAAAAAATTATGCGGAAGCTGTCACAATGGCGAAAAAAGTCATTACAGGCGGAAATAGCGCTCCACCACAGCCTGCAGTATTAGAAGGTGAAATCCAAACGAACTTCCCCTCAACATCTTTAACTCTGCCTAGTGATAATGAAATCAAGCAGCCTGACTCATCATGCCCTCTCGATTTTCATCTTACTCTTGCCGATTCCAATGAACAGAAGCCGACCGATGCTTCGTGTCCCTTAGATCTCCGTCTTGCTTTCCCTCCTCCAAGTCTTCACTTTCCCGTTAGCAGCGATCCTGTTTGCCCAGAAAGTGGTCAGTTCTCCTTGTTGAATCTCAATACAAGTGCAGGAGACTTTTATCAACTTCCTGATCAACGCTGGGCCCCTCTTCCACAGTTGGATGTAAGTGGCCTAAACGACATCAATTCCAGTGTGCCGACTTTTTCGGAAGATGAAGATGAGCCAAACGAGTCCTTTGCCAAACGACTGAAGTCGCAACTTGGTTCGATCGAGATATGAACTGTGGCATGTTATCATGCTCTACATTCTTTACTGTTACAAGCATGCGATTCTTCGGCAGCAGCTCTTTCGTTTGTGTAAATACGTTCCCCTATTTCTCTCTAGGATTTAATTATCCGTGCTTTTTTCCGTGGCTGGGTGAAACAGTTCCATATATCATCGGCTTGCGGCGGTCATTTTGCAGGATATAACTTGTCAAACGAACGTGCGTAGTTTCTGGCTCCGTTTTACGTGTACATAAATGTACCTTTAATGAGGTTTGATGATAGCGACATTGGATGACAATCTTCCTATCATGTCAACCTCTCCCATTATGTCACCGTGATCCTTATTTCAGTGAATCAATACTTACAACTCCCTGACTTTCCAGACCCATTGCGTACTGACCAATCTTACTTGTTTGTATTCTTCCTTTTAAGATATTAAAACTCAGATTTAACTGGAATTCTTCCACATCCTTACTGGATATTCGATTTGGGGCTTCTGTGGCTGAATAGGTTCTTTCACGTGTCTGGGCGTCGTTTTTGCTTGGAGTCTTATTTTTAAGTTGTTGTATGGTAAACTGTATAGGGTCGTTTCTCGGTGTCACTACCGCGTATGTTTCCCGTAGATTGCTCCGCGCGGCCCGCCTTACAAAGTAGTCCTTTGAGTAGCCTAGTCGCCAGTTGGTTACGCAATGATCTGCTATTTTCCCTAACATTATTGGTGCAGAGGCCGGTGCGCAACGAGAATCGAAATGCCTTCGACCCGAGGTAGTGTGATTCCTATCAACAAGATAACGCACCGCGATGGTCATCTGCACAATGTCGTCGATGATCCGGTTATGCCATAGTTTATCGCAGCGTCTCTTGTTTCATTTCCAAAGATGATTTGGGAGCGTGGGTGCGTCATCTCCAACGCGAGTCAATGTGACATCCAGTCAAGACTTATGATTTTGAATTCTTTGTTGTGGTGTTGCCAGTAGCAAATTGATTTGTGTTGTCACTTTTTGGCCGTAGATGATGTACCGCCAATTACCGTGTCTCAATGTGGAGAGTTGCCAGAATTACGACTGAGTTAATCAAGGATAGTAAATCCTATTCGTTAAAGGTTATCGTTGTAATGAACTCTAAAATAAATAAGAGTGCTCTAGGGATCAAACTTAGCTACATTGAGTTAGGTTTAAATATAAAAATAGGTGGCAGTACGGTCAGCACGAAACGCTGAGGATATGGCGATTTGTTGGTTGTCCCACTTTGTCGCCTGATGGTCTGCAACTCGAGTTAGTTTATCGCTAAAAAGTAGATTTGCACTTTTAACCGCCGTCGGTTTTGGTGGTTTGGATTGCCATTAAGCGTGGTAAATCGCCTATTTTCACAATTTGCAATGGCGGCCTTGAAATCGTGGACAATGTCGAGTTTATCGGAATCATTTCTCAAAGAGTCAGTGATCCCCTGTATTGTCCTCAAAACATCCCACTTTAAATCAATTTTCCAACATATACTTCGAATATGTGAGTTGATAATGATCGTTCACTTTAAGGTTGAAGTGCTCATTGGTGCCTGAGGCGAGTTCTCGTATTGATTTGCAGCCAAATTTCGTCTTAGAGTGAATGCGAACATTCTTAATTTAAGTTTGGCTGCTTCAAATCCCAAATTTATTCAAAAAATATTATTAACGCTTGGTGTGTGATGAGCAATTAGGGTATTTTGATTTTACCCATGTGCGGAGTCGCTCCCCGTCTAGATAAGTCCCCGAGGTATGATGAAGTTGCCGCGATTGCGTCCCGCTTTCACCTATTTACACCAACCCTACTGAATATCACATAATGAAGGCGAACTACGACGCTTTCACTCTCCGCTGCATTCCTTCTCCTTGAGGGACCCACCCACGCCTTTCCTAATGCGTTATTCGAGGTAAGTCGCTGTCCAGACCTGGCCTTCATCATTGCCCCTACTTGGATGAACACTGTCCCTGCCCATTCTCCTTAAATCAACTTCACATAATCCATTCCCATAAGTTAGATATGGTCGCCAGTACAGGCCCACAATATGGGGACAAGTACAGCGTCATAAAAAGAAACAGTGCGAGCCTATGGTGCACGTACACATTCATGTGATTGCCAGTGTTCGTACGCTCAACCCCACGGTAGGCTTGCATTGCAGTTATTATTTGCACAGATGACAGTCAGTGAAAAATTTGATTGAAATTATGTGGAGCCATGTGCCAGTTACGTAGCCTGCCTACACTGACAAGCGACCGTCTCGCGCAGGAAAGAAGCTAATCAGTGTTCGCACGTTTGCATTGTGCCTCACACCGACAGCTCGTAAACGTGCTAATCCATACCAGGTCAAGGTCACACAAGCCATGTTTGAGGGACGCAGTCTGGCGTGCAACTCCGATTTTGGCAGACAGCAAAACCGTCTGCACGAGGGCGCTGGGGCCTGCGTTCGGCACTGGACTTGCGCATTGCTTCTTTGAGCGTGTGGCTACACTTACGGACAATTTGTAACACCTTATTTCACACAAACCATTTGTCGTGAATCGTGTTCATTCACACTCCTTGATCCGGCCACTCCATCCTCCGACTCAGGGCTTCCCTTTTCGCAGCATGTCTCCAGCCCTGCGGATCCTCAACTCCCCCCTCATTCGCACGAACATTGATCCTGGATTATCCTCACACCTAGGTCTCCATGTTAGCGCATTTACGGCTCACGCATCTGAGGTATAAATACACACTCGCAAATGGCATCCACGACACAGCTACACCAACGTGGTTGAGCTCTGAAATAAACGGTTGCGTCTGGGTTCTCTCTAGTCTTTTTCTTAATTGCGGGTATCAGGAAAGCGTAGTTGGGCCAGAGTTAATTCAGTGGCCCCGGCGTGGTTCAAGACCACATGCTGGGGCCCACAACACATTTTTCATCTGCATTTGGAACGAAATCCATGAAAGGTTTGCTTTGCCGCCTGGTGAGGAGCAAAATGGCTGTAAAAACCGGATTCAGTTCGCTCCATTCTGCCAAACGAATGGAATCCATGCAGTCAAATTCTCAACATGCAAGTTCTTGGTGCTCTCTTAGGTGATAATCCACGGGTAACACTTTTTCCTACTAAGACTCGGTGATAATCACTATCAATGCCGGAAGATCGCCCGGGGTGGCATTTATCGTCTAGAATGGAGTCACCACTTTTAATCTGACTAACCCACACTTTAAGTGTCCTAGGAACAGAAATAACTAGTTAATTATCATTTCAAATATTAATCCTGTAATGTTTTTAATAAAAACATTTTCCAAGGTTGTGTGGCCTCACGACGCGTTTAAGTAACTGTCAGTGTACAAGGCGGGTATTGAAGATATGTCAGTGCAGTCGAAATTTCAAGCTTCTGATCTTTGTGAATTCGAACACTGACTTTGGTAATCCTCCCTTGTCGTGGTCCTCAGGCTCACTGGAGTTCAGCGTCTAATGTGTCCTATTAACTACATATGAGTAGTAAGGGTTTTATCGCTGTAGGAGCCTCGGGTTCCGTAGTTTATGCCACATCGAAAACCTCATGATGAAGTCTTTTTAATAGTGCTCTATAGTCAGTGTGGCTAGATTTAAAATTCGTTGGTCGAATGCCAACACCTCCTATTGAATTTGATCGTCCTTCATTACAACGGTTTTTGTGTACATTTACAGGGAAAGCACGTAAAGTCAATCTAGTTATTCATTGTAACATATTCCAACGAAATGTTATATCCACAGGCTCAAATTTCCAGAAATAGTTCATGCGAAGCCTTTTATGCGATCGTGAATTGAATAAGATCGACACAGAAAGCCTAACACCATCTGCGACCTTATAACCAGTGGTTTCAAGGTTGATTGCTTCGCATGACTTCTGTGCGCATGCACTATCCAATTAAATGCCACCTACATTTTTTTTAAATTCTGACGTTTAAGGACAATAGGATTCCTCCTTCATTAACGAGTAAATGCAACAAAATGCATTCGAGAGACTCAGATACAGTACCGCTAGCACACTGCCACCTCTGGTGAGCGCTTGTGTCGGCTTCACAGCACGACCGAGGACAGGGCTGCGGCGGCAGCGAACACACGGCCTGCTAACAGTGCGGCGAGGCATGGACGAGCAGTTCAAAACGAAATTAACACACCCACCGACCCCTAATGGACAACTTTGGCCCCCTCCCCCTGCTCAACTGATTTGGGTCCTCTTTGATGCACTTTCACGTATCATGGACGATTTGCCTGCCAGTAGGAAGTGATGCTAAAACATTTTGCTTGAAGTTTAAAAATCCTTGATTAACTTAAGAGAAGAGGTTCAGGAGGTCGAACATGCTTGTAGCATAAAATTTTGTAACATTTCTGTCCAAATTGAAAGTTGATGTGAACTTGTTATCTTTGGGCCCAGACGTCTAAATTGTTCCGCCCAGGCTAGTGTCATGGTCCATGTTCTTAATACTGATAAATTTAAATCGGTGACAATATGTGGTCATGCAGGTGACAAATATTCTAGCAACATCAACCATTTTCCTTCTTAATTTAAGTTGTGCACTGGAATATATTAACGGGCTCTAAATCTAACAATTACACTATAGCTGCGATGAACAAAATAGGTTCCACTAACGAGGTCACGCAGCAACTTCGTTTACCAGGGTCTAAGAAGCTACGCACATCTAACATCAACTCATGGAGAGCCAAATTGTAAACAGACTAGACCATCGTCTAGCAGCAAACAGTGTGCTAGCTTCCATTAAAGTCGTAGGCGGCTGAAATCATTACATTGTGGAGGTAACCTCTCAGATTTGAATGTTTGCTCCTTAGTGGACTTCCGTCGGTACTTAAAGCGCTTAACCTCTAGGCTTAGTAGGAGATTTACAACAGTGATTGTAACTGATAATGATAAAGCCAAAGTCTGCTTGAACCAAGAAAATTATCTCTTAAGCATCGGTTCGTTAACGTGGTAAGACGGTATCCTCGAAATTTGAAAGTGCTATGAGGTTCAACAGCAAATTCTGACGTTATGCCTGCAAACCATTCTGTTATTATGTGCTTGGTGTAAGCACAATATGCCATCCCTAGATTAGAAGCAGACTATTACTCATGCATTGATTGTAAAATGTCTGAGGTGAGGTATTGAAGTAGTAACACTAAAGGTTAGGCCTTTTTGTACAAAACAAAACAACCAACGCCCCTACCAGCAACCAATCATCTGTCGCATTTGGGAACCAATCATATGCTTGCTTTTCGCCCCTTACTATCGCCGTGTAATGGTGCTGCTTAGCGCCAAGTCTCAGAAATGCGTGCTGAGTGACGCTAAAGGCGCTTGCCGATGCTTGCTTCACCACAATCGATACCAGCACGATGACCGACGCCAGCACTGTCCACGACTTAGATGAATGGATGCTTAAGCTCGACAGCCTACAGAAGGTACAACGCACTTTCTTCTTCATTTCATCTTTTCACTTCTACTTCAAATGAAGCCTCTGAGTCATAAAGCGGTGTTTTAAGTATTTTAAAATCATTATAAACCTGTTTTCATAGTCATTATCACACTGTTTGCCTCAAAATTCCTATTCAATTATTTTCGACAAATATTGCCCAAGTGCTACATAAAGAACCAGTAAACATTCAGTTAAAGTCATCTGGTACACTGCACAAATGTAATGCATTAATAATAATGTCTTAAAGATTAAAAAGATTCACATGGCAGTAGGATCAAATGTGGGCTTGGAAGATCGGAGTGCTCATGCTGCACTTTGAAAAGAAAGTGTATTTGTGATTTCCTTAGAGCCAAAGTCCATCCATGGGCGCCCTACTTTTGGACTTAAATTGTGGTTAATCCAAGCTCTGAAGTCTTTCCATTCTCTTCCCGCTAATGCTATCCATTATTTTGCCCTGATTTATAGCGATGGCGCCCGAGTCTGTGATGGACTCATCACCTTTTTGATGTCTGTTCCATCCGAGGAGAATCAATCGCCTTTTGTTTTTTTTAAAACAAATTTTTTTTATTAGGAACACGTCATTCGTGGCTTAAGTTACAAAAATCATTTAAGGTTATTTAAACTTTTGTATTTTTTGTGATAAGGTGGATTTGAAATATCAGCTACCACGACTTACATAAATAAACTAGAGAGAAACGCGCTTTTACGCTTGTCAAGCTTTTTTCGGCAGATAACTGCGATATGTGTTCTGGCAGCCTAAGAAAACCTTATATTAATTTATCTTTGTTTGACACTAAGTTTCTTGACGTGGAAATACATTTAATGGCTTTGACAGCATGCACAGGTGACCTGCTGTGATAATAGTGCAATCTAACCTAGTAAATCTCATCCTTTTTTGGATGTTGGGAATAAGAACTGACAGAGCTTGTATGAAATGGAAAAAATACAATTTAGTCATTTATATGAACTAAAATCCTGACACAGGATCAGACCATCCATGCACTTTGAACGATCCCACGAATTACCTCATTAGGTAATTTAAGGTTATAGCACTTGAGATTATTAATTTAATACCGTGCTTGTGTTGAAAGATTTCAAGGCAAAAACGTCCAAATTTCCGGACCAACAATTATAGCTGTGAGTTTCCCTAGAGCTTTCAAATTAGGAGAGCATGCAATCAACGTACCGCGGAATGGTTAAAATGCTTCGACAGAATGACAGGCCATTTAAAATAAGGCGAAATTTTTAAGGAATCTCAATATTTTTATACTTGCATGAAGTTTTAAACCCGCCTAAGGAAAGTAACCAGGCCAGAAGAAAATTAAAGTTAACAGCAATGCTCAAGTCATCTGGCCCGGTCAGTGTGTGCACGATACGACGCATATCGTGGCTTTCATAATAACAGGCTTAAGCATAGTTAGATCGCGGTAACATTGACGAATAAATAATAGGTGAGACAGAAAGACCCATGTGCATTTATGATCTAGCGTTATAAAGACTGTAGAGATGGGTGGTTCCTATTCTTCATCATTGCACATTTCTTAAATGCTATTTACTAATTTATAGAAAGTCGTTGTTATTTAAACTAATTGATATTTATGATTAAAGCCGACTACTTTAGTGAGGCACACTAGTATTAATCAAGATTGCGGTTTGTGTTGTAAATAAAACTTACGGTGCTTTTGCCTATTTAGGCTCTCAAATCATGCTCTTCAAAACAGCTATGTCGACTGCAGTCGCCTATTCTTCGGGCTCGGGCAAATAAGTCTCAAGTGTGTACTCCAGTGATTAATGACAGCGGGATTGAACTAAGCCACAGCGACCTGCTTCACACCTCGCACTCCCACTCCCCTGCGGAGGGTCCACTTCGGCAGCGAATCCCTCAGTCGCCAGGCTGCGGAGCTTATCCGGGCGCGAAAATCCGACGCAGTGGAGAAAATTCGCCTCCTCTACGTCACCGGAACCGCCCTGATGAGCCTGCTCAATTGCCCAGAGACAATATCTGTAGGCATCTGGCCGAGTTAGATGACATTCCACAACAACTTAATTTGAAAACTGTTCGATGTTTAACTGAGCCAGGAAACGCAGCTTATCGGTTGTCTAGTGATTTGCTGTTTTACTATTTAATTGAGTTGTTATGAGATCCCAAAAGATGTTCAAGGTTTGATAAAGAAATCAAAAAAACATTTCGTATCAAGAAAACAAATGGATTATTGGTTACACGAAACCATGAGTAATTGAACCTACGTTCTTTAGCAATGAACCATCGATGCTAAAACTGGAATTTGAAATCATTGTGCACAGTTTCGATATCCTCACCGCAAAATAAGGAAATTAGACTTGGATTAAATGTAGAAATCGGATTATAGGTTTTCGCTAATAATCCCTTTCACGGAGCATGTTCAATTCACATTTAATTTCTTTTTTAATTTGACACGATATTATATGAAGGGTGGTCTAGATGCAAACGAACGCCAACTATTATTATAAATTACGAATAAACGGAAGGAAATTTCGGTGCACGTTCTTACAGCGCATGTTCGAGATGCCAACTGTTAGTTGCACTGCGTATTCGGCAGTGTTAGGGGTAAATGGACAGGCTAAATAACGCAAGAGCATTTCGTTAAACAGGATTTCAATAATTTTAGACGACCTAGTTTCTTCACACCAATTACAGCTGCCACTCCTACAACGTTGTTAACAGGATGGAATTAGGGACCGGAATACTCATAATTACTACATCATGCTATCAAAATCTAGCACAAAAGTCTTGCTTAGAGATCTAGTAGTTCGAATTACCGCTGTTTTCTGGTTCAATTTTCTTTGTATGTAGATAATGCAGCCTTAACAGAAAATATCAATTTTCTTAAATTCAGCTCTGGACCGGTTGGATGGAATGCGGAAACTAGTCAGTGACTTGGACAGTGTTGAGATCGATCTAGCAAGCTCGGCAGCAGATTACTCCGTAAGCATATATTTCTCCTACTACTTGTATTCAGAAGAAAGCTGGACAATTTGTTCTTAGGGCCCTCCGGGAGTAAGAAAATCCGTTGGTGCCAAAACGGTGTAGTCAAATCAACACACATTCAAGGCGTTAACAAATGTATACTTAAATTAAGATTTCGAGGGACTATTGTTGGTCATTGGCATTTAACAGTAAAGGCGTTAAATAGGTGGGCGTGTCATTCTCCGATTTTGTGAAAGAATAAAGTTTTAAGTTAGAAATTTTGGTTCCCTCAAAATTAAGAAGTTCTAGTCTTAAGAATTAAAATCTATTCCTACTAGTTTTGTCGGTGATTAGGCTTAGGCCTTTGATTTGTCCACCAAACTCTAACTTTACTTTTAGTTACCTGAGATGAATGCTTTATCGGAGGTAGAAAAAAGGTTCCACTTGAAAAGCAATGCCGCGTCTGCATAAAACTATAGTATTTCAAACTCCTAGATGGCTGGATAACTAATTTTGAAACTGACTTAACTGTGCGTGAGAGAAATGCTGCACACTTGAAATCTAGTCACTTGATAATCTTAATTCTATTATAACTCAGACACTGGAAAATGAGATTTTTCATTGGTAAGGTAAGGCAATTATTAACATCACTTTGACCAATATTATGAAGGCCAAAACTACCCTTACGCGAAATCCCTCAATGTCGAGATTGAAATTTAGAAATGTTACGCCACAACTTAGTCGAGGTGCGGTAATAAAACTGAAAACTCAAATATCTAGTTAGATGAGCTCGTTGGCTCCCAAAACCGTACGCCAACTGCGAAAACAAAAATGAAATTGGGGTCCTGTGATGGTGGTCTAGACAGATTTGTAAAAACTCGTGGGATACGATCACAAGGATATTTTTTGTACCTGTAACCACTCGATAATGCGCATGTGAGCTATTTACAGAATTCTAGGGCATCAAGTGACTAGCGTTTTCCTGATTATGGTTATTTTGCATGGTCTTTCTTAAGTCACTGTTTGGATTATGATTCCCCTGGCAGCTGACATTGGACGATTAGCAAACGCCTCTTTGTGACGATGCCTTTTGAGAGCAACCCCTGTCTTTATAAACGTTTAACAAAAAAAAACACATGAAAATTCTTTTTCGCCATTTAAAGTAAGTAAGAATACGCAATAGTTGTTTGCGCCAAGTGAAGATGATCCGAGCTTATATTATTTGTAGCTTGTACAAAGTATTGCTGAAAATACACTTATTCTTATAATAAACTAGGCTTTTATCATTAAAAAACAACAACCGACATCCTCGAGTACGTCATTCTAAAATCGGTTTGTAGAAAAATGGATCTCAACGAGGGCTGGCTTCTCCGGACATCCCAGTAATCCCACCACCACCAGCCTTCACTAATTTCAGCGAATATGAAGAGGCCAATTTTCCTTCATCAAGTTTAAGATTAAATCAAATTCCCAGTCTTTCCTACCTCCAAAAATCCTCATTTTCTGCTCAGTGCGAATTATTAACCCCACAAAACCCAGGTAGTAGCCAATCAACTAGGCGGGAGACTCCACAATCTCAGAACTATACTTCTCTAAGGAGAGGAAGGGTGCCTCAAACAACCGACTGGAGCGGTAGTTTGCACTTTTGGAAGAGCCTCCAGAACAAAGAGGGTCCAGATCTACGCAACCAAAGAAAAAAAGAGGAGGAAGAGAAAAAAGTGTGTTTTAAATTTTGAAAACCTACATGGTTTCCATTTTTATGATAACATTAGTCTCCAAGTTGTTTTCTCCAAAACATAGCTTAGTTGAATCAAAGCAAAATAATCAATTTAAAGAATATTTCATCGGAATTTAGAATAAATCTTTATGCTTTTAGAGTCTAATTAATTTGCATGTTATAGACGTGCAAAATGCCATTACGACCAATTCAACTGCTTTTTTGATTGTCTCTGTTAACAACAGGCATTATCGAATGGGTGATTTGTGGAACAAATTGGTTTTTAATTTGCTTATTTCTCTTTAAAGAATAACAATCGACATGCCTTATAAAAGAGCCAAGGTTAGCTTGCTTAAAACTGACAAAGTGGTTTTGTAAAGACTTGTAGGTAACATCTGCACCAGCGAGGAGAACTATTAGGTAAAAAACCTGGTCGAGATTAATTCCACTTTAATCAAGAACGAAATTTTTTAAGTTAAACATGAAATCACTATTGAAAAAGCGGATTTTAAGTATAAAAATTCAGGACCAAAGTTCACTGATTCATGTGCATTCAAAAGTAGACCTCCAAGCGAAGGGAAAGAAATCCTTTTGCATGATTTTAATGTGGAACAGAGATGAAATCGTAATGTCGCTTCAAGGGAATTATGATGTCTAATAGTTATATGTGGTGGTTAATGAATATTATGAATGGTGATATTTGTTAATATACTCTGGTTGTCGATTAAGTGCTTTCATCTGGTTTGACATCGAAAAACGCGGAAACACTTTTTTGGGTTATTGGTTAATAAAGGGTCCAGGCGCTTAACTTAATAATGGTATTAGCCTAAATCATCATATAAAACGTAGATGCATGCTGTACACAGCAATCCTGTCTTCTGGCCGCCCGGCTTCTGATTGTTGTCGCCATCAACATAGAAGCAGATTCCTGGTGAATTGTACAAGCGTGTCTGTACAAGCAGTTGCGTGGTGCGGAGCCTGCCACTAGATCAGCCC